TAAGATAACCCCGCGTAACATGGCATATCTATAAAATTAAATCAATTAAATTTATTTTATTAAAAAAAACTAATATTGCTTTTAACAAATACATACGCATCACACCATAATATAAAATTATTAGTTTTAGTATTATAATAGGCCGTTTCCAATCTAGAGCGGCTTATAAATTATAATAACAATACGATTTATCTGCAACGTATGTAAACAGATTTTTCTGCAATAACTAAGTATTTCGAACATATATTATCAAACTACTATATAGATATATAGATTTACAATTCCTGCGCTATGATATATGTGTATGTAAATATATACATACATACACTTTGGTATCTTAGGAGATCCCTTTTTTCTCTAATGATTTGGTTCTGGCGGATGAATTTATGTTCGGAATGTTTTAAGCCGCTTTTATTCGTAGAACACACAATTTACAATAATTAAAAACTGTTTAAGTAACTAGAACAATTTACAACAAATATAACCTATAATCTATATAACCATCACAAAAACATGATAAATAACACTAAAAAAAGTAGTTAGATACTTTAGATACGAAAAAAATTTTACGACATTGCCAAAATATACAGCAAAAATAACGAATTATGATAACAATAAGTTTCTTAATACCGATGAAATAAAATACTGTTTTGTTGTATTTGCTTTAACTACATCGTAACAGTGTAAAATTTAAACCATATCGGCAAACTGCATCGTTGTGCCAAAACCAGATTAGACACGTACATATAAGAAGTAAATCACGGGCAATGTTATTGTACATTTGTACCTATATTGCAGATTCGTTTAAAAATTAATTGTACAACAAAATCCTTAACTATTATCGCGGGCCATTTTAAGCTCAAATACTTAATATCAAAAAAACATATTAAAAACTGATGCGTGTATCTACGGTATAGAGAAAGAGTGAAAAATGAATAATAACCATTGAAAAAAAGAAACCAGTTAATTCAACATATTGTTTATTATTTGACCAATGATAAACATTAAACAGGCGCAGATCTAGAAATCTGAAATAGGGGGGAGGAGGCCAAACCAGGGAGGTGATTGTCTAACTTTTTTTTTTCAATAATGCAGTTCAAATTCTTGAAATTTTTAGTAAGTACTACTTTTTGTTTGTGATACAAACTTAAATTTTCAAATGTAAGCCAACTTTTTTTACTGTAAATTATTTTGGAGATAAATTTTTTGAACCGTTGCCGTATTAAATTAAAAGTTCGAACGAGTTGTTTTTTACTTATTAAAATGTTTATATTAAAAATAAAATTAATCTAAAATGATAGGTATTACAAAAATATTAAATATACCTATGTAATATTGGATCCAGTATCTATATATTTGACTAGGATCATTTTTAGAAATTAAGATGTTCATAGATTATTAATATTAATCACCACAATTTTTAAATCACCCTAGGTAATCGAAGTCCCCATATTTTCTGAACTTACTATCATGGACCTATTATCTTTAGCACACTATGATAAATAACTCAAAATCCACTCATTTCAATTTTGATTCTGATCCGTCAAAAAAAAAATTTCAAAAAAATTATCCACAACAAATTTACATAAGAAAAGAGGGATTTTTATTTGAAAAACCAAAGTTTTTATAGCAACAGGACACTCCTTAAGTAATAAAAAAAAAAAAAAAAAAAAAAACAAGAACTTGAAATTATGTTCTTTAAGTTATAATTCCAAAACTCAGATTTTGAATAACTGCATTATTGAAGAAAAAAGGGGGTGAGCATTCTTTGTCGATCACCTTGTATTTTGTAAACACTAAAGATACGATATGATAACAATATTGTAGTTAACAATTCAATTTATGGATATAGATAGACTTAGCCCCAATCCCTAAGTTTTATATAATAAATATAAACATTACAAGTTTATAACAAATTAAAGATTAACTAAAGAAAACAAGCCACATAGGTACATATTATATTCGCAGCATAATTCTCAGATATTTAATAAAGAAAGAAAACGAATCACCAAGAGCCATCTAAAACGGAAATAAAACGTTAATCTTATATTATTATGGTTAGCATAATTACCGACACGAACATATTAATACATAGGCGAAACTAGAGGTGCTAGAGTATGGTGCTACGCATCTGTATCTCAAGTATGTCGACGATCAAACGCGATTAATAATGATAGGTAATTATTATTATTTTTTACTTTTAACTGCAAATTAAAACAACGCATTTGTATGATATTAGTTTATGATAAATTTACCTTAAAAATATATGATACGTTTAAAATTTTAAAACTATACATACTTACTGTATCAACTAATAATACTCATGTCATTAACAATGAAGAATACAGGGAGGGATACTAAGATAATACCAATTTAAGTATTGTAAAATAAGTACCCAATTAGATTGCTTATTGTTTTAATATCTGTACTACGGGTAATCAAAATAAATATATTACAATATCAATATCACAAGGTTTTGAATTCAAAATATTATATATAAAATGCGAAAAGTTAGTATTTGTTCGTATATTTTACATAGAATATTTTTTATAAACGGCAAATATCTAATAATATTACAGAACGGCAAATTTAAAATTCAATAATTATGTATCACAGTGTTTTACGATTAAATTAGATTATAAATTAAAATTAAAAGAGTAGTCTATACGCCTTAACTACACCTTACTAGGTACTAGTTGGTAAGTATTGTATTCATCATTTTTGTGTGCTCCGGTATGCTAAGTTTACTTTTACGACGAAAACACAGGTAAGTTATACATTGTAGCTCTATATACCAAACGATAACCGTAAACCCGACGCACGCGTCGCGTATTAACGACACCTGCTGCTTCGACCACTATTCGAGCCGGATCAACTTTACAATAATTAATATTGTTATAAATTTATAATTATGTACTGGTAAGTGGTAGGTAACTAGTTTTTCCTTTGTTCGTTGATACAAATTGGGAATAGAGCGATTTTTTTCTCTTTCTCTCTTGAAAGCCAATAGTCTTCCCCTCCATTTTTTTTCAACGACCGAATCGCCCCGGCAGAACCGTTATAATAATACAATAACATTACGCACGGATATCGAATGTACGGTGTAGGGTAAGGGGGAATGAGAGAGGGTGAGGAGAGAACAGGCAAACGTTGTTTGTCGATTTAACAGTATTGCCACTGTAGCGACATTTTACTTCCGAGAGTGGTCTTAAACATTACGTACTACCGGCGAATGTGCAGGTGTGTGTGTGTGGGGGGGAGGTTCATGCTGAATGGACACGTTTCGAACGAGACGACAACGTTCACACATAGGACAAAATCAGTTTATTTTATACCATCAAAATATACGTCAAACCCACGGACGTTTTTACTAGTCTCAAAAATATTAATCGACGATGTAGCACTCTACTCTTATAACGATTTTATAAATTCCTTTTTTTTTAATTAGCAATCGGTGCACTATCGTTAAATGAAGCCGCCAACATAAGGACTTTGGAGTAACGCCGGCAACGGGGCCGTGTCCAATGCGTTCAATATTCATACAGGCACGCACAACCGGTTTATATATTTCTTTCTCATCTTCTATGGTTTAGGGTCAAGAGGCGCGCCGAGACCTTTTCCACTCCTTATTATCGAACCACCCGATCGCCGTGTTTAATTCCGATTTCTATCGTCATATGTGTGCACTGTGCAGTCATATTGTGGAGTTATTTTACCATTGTGTTCACTCTATTCGGGCAGTTGAAATAAAACAAGGCCGGTTTTTTTTGCGTGAAAAACGAGCACGCTTTCACCAGACAACGGTCGGTCGATTGTGGAAGATGATAAGGGGGCAGGATTCGAATGTGAAAGTCAAATTTTGCAAACCATCTTTAACCATCCCAACACATTCCTAATTTGTTTTACCCAACATTGTAATAAAAAAAATGAATTGGTTATATCGTATACATGGACAAAACTCGTTCTAGTCTTCTTATAAAATTATTATAATTGTTATTAGTAAGTATCAAGTTATGTATAAACGTACAACTAGTGTAATACACATCTGTCTATTAAATAGGTACAATATATTGCATTATTCAATTTTAAGCGTCGTGACCTTGTGATGTGTGTATTATACCTTTTAAAGAATAGCAGTAAACCAATGTCAGTAGACTATAATCATTATAATAAAACCATAATTCAAATACGAGGACAGCGATCTTCGAACATTTAATTCATAAAAAAAAATGCATATTTAATATGAACGAGTACTTTTGAAAAACAACGTGTTTGGGCTCTATGATGAAATAAATCAATTAATAGGTCACATATTGAATTCACGCTAATTTACAATTATTTATGAAATTAGTTCATAAAAATAGCTATTCATTGTTTTTTTTTTGATTTTTAACATTCTAGATTTTTAAGAGATTATTTCTTGTGATCCTAAAAGTTGGAAATAGAGAGGATCACTTGTATATTATATAATATATGCTATTACCTATACACCTAATATGATTATAACATTTAACTTATAAGCCTATACAAAAATTCTCTAATAAATATTAAGAATTTGTTAACACAGTTCAATACATTTTTTCTCCAAAATTGACTTCTCTGTTTTATGAAGTTTGTTGTCATTGATATAGTTATTTTATGATAAATTATAATAACAAATAAATTAAAACATTTTTAATTAAGATAATGAAAACCTTTTAATATCTTACAACAAATTAGGTATTTAAAAAAAAAACTTATTCAGCTAAAAACAAAAAAATCAACATTTTAAAATAAAAAATTTTCCTTATAATGGAACCATACTTAGGCATATTAATTAAGTCTTTTTAAAAATTACAATTAAATAATTAATTTAATAACAAATTTGTAGGAACAAAAAATAAATTGAATATAAAACTAAAAATAAATTGTCTTTTAATAACAAATAATATCATCAAAATTAAATAAGGAGTTACTTTTTATCACATAGTCCTTGTTACATTATATCAGCCTTTATTATTTTATTGATGCAATTCATCTGCAGGCACATCGAACTCTGGCACTAGCCAAGGTTGATACGCACGATTAGAATCCATGGCCACACTTTCTTCCCCATTGTTACACTGGACACATGATTGTTGTTCACAGTACAATGGCGGAGGAATTGGTTGAACATGTGGTCCAGTTGAATTTGACAAAGTTTCCACAAAATTTGGTTCCATACAATTTTGATTAAAATTGGAGGGTGGTTCCATTAGTATAATTTGCTCATTGAATGGATGAAAATTATTTAATAAAATTGGCAGAGGTGTAGATATATACCATGGATGTACGACATTTTCATTATTTATCAAATTTAGAGGCGTCATAGGCAGATCTGGATTCTGTTGATATGGATGAACATAAAAAGAGGGATGAAATATTTGCCCAGGGAACATCTCATGAATTGGTCCATGAATAAAACCTGGATACAGAACTGGAGTTTCACATTGTCCAGGACCTCCAAAAATAAATTGGTTACAGTCAACTATATTTGAAGATACTTGATTAATTTGAGTAGGACTCTCCAAAAATTCTCTCATATCTTGTTCGACTGGAATTAATTTCAACTGATCATATTCCACATATATTTTTTTAGCCAAATCTTTAACATATACTTCAACTGGTTCATTTTTCCCATGAATACGTTGTATATAACAATGATACCCCTGAGGTCCAATAAAAACCATACATTTGCTGCCTTCTTTAAACTCCCAATTATTCCATCTGCCATAAAATTTTTCTTTTTTATTATTTAACCAAATATCATACTCTGTGTTTCTATATAATTTAGGTGTCAAAGCTTTAGCTACTTTAAATGGGAATGGAGTAATACCATATTCAAGCAGCTTTTTCATATCTGTACAAGTAGCTCTCTTTTCCAAACTAATCGGATCACTTGACCTTAAAGCTGGTAAATTTCTGTCAAACAACATTTCTTTCACAGCAAAATCTACACCAGATAATTTAAAAACATTGTTGTAAAGCATTTCATATATAATTGATTGACTAAATGAACTATTTACGACAGACTCTTTGGAAAGTACTAAATCATAAGTACCTTCATAATTAAGACATATATTTAAAGTTTTTACTGCGTTTGGAGTTTCAATATTAAGAGGTATGAAAGGATGAGAATCTTCATAAAATGCAATACTAATTTGGTATATTTTAGCAGCAATATGCATATCCAACAATGAACCATCTATTTTTGTATCAGTAATTTTGTTTGCATAGTTTTCGACAGACAACTGAGTCATCTGAGAAAATTCTTTGGTTTGCAGTGAAGAAAATTGTAAAAGTTGTTGTCGTACAATCATGTGACAACTTTGGGTTAGAAACACACATTGCGAAATACATCTGAATAAACTATTACCATCTCTAGGCACTACATGTCTCAATAATCCCACTGACTCTAACAATTCATCAATTTTTGGTATCTGTATCCTTTTAGATTTGCTTCTATTTCTTACGGAGAGTGTCAACATTTTGCAACCAATTCCTAAAAAAAATACACAAAAATTTAAAAAAAAACATTTTAAAAGAAATATTAAACGCACTAAAAATTAATCATAGTTAGTCTTCTGTCTATTAAATATATGACAATTTCATTTAATTGTGCGTTCAATATTATAAATGTTTTTTTTTATCTTTTTGTATATTTTTGTATAAAATTATATCCAGTTTCATAATAAAACTATTATTGACTTCAAACTATCCATTTAATTTTTAGTGCGTTATTAGGTATTATCTTAAATTTTAGTAAGTATAAACACAAAAAGTACAAACAATTAGGTACACTGATAACAATTAAATAATCCATTAAAATTAATTAAATCCATGACGGTAATATTTTCAGCCAACAAATTGATTTCTAACATATGGTAATAATTCCTATTAAGTAAGTTGTATGTAGTAAACAATTGGTAATGAGTTTTCAAATGTGAAGATAAAAAAAATTATAGTTGGTTACTACCAACACAAAACCTAAGTGCTATACCTAATTATAATATTATATAGAATGGAATTGCATAACATACTACTAACTTGCATATATATACAAAAGATAAATTTAAAGATATTTATTACATTATTTAGGTACAGTGAATAGTTCAAATTTATATTCAAGAGTAGGTAAAAGTAGGTTTAGAATTCCTAAAACGAAATTGTTGGTATGAAAATGATAAGTTATCATAGAACCTATTAATACATAATATATAAGAAGATTAAATTCCTAACATTATATATATAATATAATATTATACAAATGAAGTGCAATGAAACAACGGTATTCATTATATTCGAATAATCAGTTGTTGCTAACATTTGTATTTTTAAATCTTAATAATTAATTATAAAATAAAGGAATAGTAATATTATGCTCACCAAGGTATCATAATGACAATATAGGTGGACTACCTTTGAAATCTATTCAAAAATATATTCGCTACTACTTACATCGCATCCTAAAAATTTATAAATAAATTGAAGATAAATAGATAAGTTTTGTTGAGATATGTTGTTCAGTATTTTTAAAATGTATTCATCATTATTTATCAATAATAAGTAGTTTTTATAATTATCTAGATCAAAATAAAACGTATACTAATAGGTGATAAGTAATTACGATTCTTAATTTAAAATTGTCCAAGTTCAAATGTTCAAAGAAAAATTGTTTATTAATTAATGTGAATAAATATATGAATTGTTGTTAACCTATTTTGTATGGATGGATTTTGGAAGTCTTTTAATATTCAAGATGATAAATTAACCATCCACACCTATCAAACGTAAAACAAAAATATTTTACATCAATACTTTAATTAATCTTAATTACACAAATAAGCATTGTCGAATTTGATCAAGTCACCAAAAAATTTTTTGAGAAAAAAGTTTATCTTAAAAATGAAATCTCCCACCCTAAAATTCGAACAAATCACCATGCCCATAAAAGAAAACGAACACATGGGCAAGACGAATATATTTAACACTTACGTGCACACACGCTGAAGGTAGGTTATGTAAAGAATAATAAAAATCATGGTATGACAGGAGGGGCATGTTTCTATCGATCGTTTATTAATAAATTATAACTAAGACGCGACGTGTACAACCGATGAAATGTCACGACATGTAACTTAGGGCCCGTTTTACAATCATAGTTTAAACCTCGGTTACGCTTGAACCACTGATTTTACCGGCCGAATTCGGTGGTTTAACCGGAGTTCAACTATTGTAATACGGGCCCTTAGTGGTTTACGTAAGTGAACCGCGGTTAAGTTTGTATTACAGATAGGACACGTTATCGGGAATACGTATCAAAATTCAAAAATGTGAGAATATTTTTTTATGAAACACGACTAAGCATTGGCACTGTTCATTTGTGTGGCGGGAAACAAAATCATTTGACGAGTAGGCTAAGTACACGACAACATTCGAGATAATTTACATTATATTTATTTAATAGATAATATATTGCAGAATCCAGTGTCGAGAATCGTGATCAACGTATAAGCAACATATTGTTTGGTTCTATTTAAGGTTGAATAACAATTATCAAACTGTTATTAATTTATTTATTTTTAGCAATTGTTGGTTGAAAAGATCATAAATTAAATTTGATAATATTTTGTTTATAAATTCTATTTTCTAATAATTTTGTAACACGTTAGCGTTACCTAGCAAGCACGAAATTAAAACAGACAGTGTCAGCCCCTTTTTGAACCCCAACCGCAATAACGCGACACTGGACCGAGAAAACCGAACGCTCGTTAATATGCAGCTATGTGACAAAAAAATAAATAATATAGGTATCGTATTTATAATCGACAACGGCGGCAGCTGGTAAACACGATTAACTGTTTTAAGCGTAGGTATTAACCACTATCGTTGGCAGCTGCTCCCCGCGTGCGCGTTTTGTTAACTCCCGGAGCATTGTCGAGCGACTGCCGGCTACCGACGCTGCAACGACCAATCGCGAAACGAACGCGAGCGATGCACGCTGCCAAACTCGATCGTTTCGATATTACAGATTTGTCGTCGCCCACCACCACTGCCGATACTACGATGTGATAGTCGCGCAATGCGACCGGCCGGCCTCGTTATGGCCGCCGATTGCCGAACGACGGTGTGCGCGTTGATTCTCGTACGTGCGTGTGCGTTCAAGCGCGTGTGCATATAATATAATATTATGCGTGTGCCTATGTGTACGTAAGTAGTTGAGTGCGTGCAATAATGTATATTATATTATTAATATATTTGTGTACGAGCTCGCTCCGTAATACACTAAACAGGTTCGTTTTACCGACGACGACGCCGCCGCGCTCAGGGCAATGAAATTGTTTTTAACTGCATGCCCACACGACCACGCCGTGCAACGATGACGGCAAAGAAGAAATCGAATCGATGTCACGATTTTGCTTTGCTAGCGCAAAGAAAAACGAATTCGTCGAAACGGGAACACACGAGGAGCATCCGTTTATTCCAAATATAATTATATATTTTGCGGTACCTACACTCCACAACAGAAAAATATTGCTGAAGTAATCGTTATTACTTATTAGTTATAACTTATAACCATTTCCAAACACCGACGGTCGACGATTATATTATTTAGTAGTTGTAACTGTTTTTAGAGAATAGAACATAATTTATTTTTACCTTTCCCCAGACCACGAAACTTTTCAAGGTCAGTTATAGAAAACGACAATAAATATCCCGATGTGCGAAAAAAATGTTTTGTGATGCAAATAGCCATTTTGTTCACAATATGGGTGCCTAATTTTTAAAGTATGCCGTTATATGACAGATGTTACGGGAATAAAGGGAACACGGGTCTACTGTATTGTATGATTTGGGGAAAAACTCGGAACAATATTATTCGATTCACATAGAAACGAACACAACCTACCTACATAATATTATTTATAAAAATATCAATCAAAAATTGTATTATCCATGTGAAAAATATTCATCACCACACACCAAACAAAATATATTAGAGAGCCCGAGTGTACAACACATCCCCACATGGCTAGTATACCCAAAGAGGCAACAATAAATTCGATGAAATAATATTATAGTGACTATATTATACTATAGCTAAATTAAAGTGATTTAAAGATCACAGAATTATCTCAAAACGAGCATCAGAAGTCTTGGGCAATATTATCGTTTGAAACAAAATAAATAACTCGGGGTCAAAAACGCGAAACGGCAATTATTACCAACCAACGACGACGGTGGTGCGTGTTATCGCTAAAGTATTGTACGATTTGAATCCGCCAATGGTAAACACAGTTAATGAACCGGAGATAGAGAGGACGCACAGATTGAGAGAGAAAAAGAGTTGTACGGTAAAAAATCAGTCGGAAAACAACGGTTGGAATATTATCATTATTTTACGTGTGTAGGTACACCTCTATTCGGTCGGAGGTGTTGCTCATGCACGTTGCATATTACAATAATAAGCGTGTATACATATTATAATATATACACAATAATGTAATCGTGAAAACCGTCGTGATTCGATTTAATGTGCGGACTCTGTAGGCGAGAATTCCACACGGCGGCGGTCCACGAGGAAGGAACGACTGGCGGAGCGGCGTGCACGCGTGTTGTGTCCCGGTGTGAACGACGCCGTGCAGGCACACGCACACACTCACGCGCGCACAGGTCTGTCGGTAACACCGCGATCACGAAAGTGAATACCATACACTATTATACACTTCTAACCTAGACAGGGGCGGCGGACATACGCGACCGTCGTTGAGGGCTAGTGGTGCGAGCGTGTTTTCTGGGTACGATGTGGGAAGACGTGGGCCGCCGCCGCCGCCGAACGGATGACGGTTACGTCCAGCGAAGCCCCCCCGCTTCACCGGTCCGACGATCACGAAACCGAGTCGCGTCGTCGTGCCAGCCAGCCGTGCAGACCAGTTAAAACGCGCGCGCTCTTTTCGCATTGTCATCGCCGTCGCCCTTCCATTTATGGTGCCTCAATTACCACCGCCGGCCGGCCGCCACCAATTGTGGTTATTACTTACTACTACTATACGGTTTGCCTTGACAACGACCACTTTTAACAATCATTATCAAAATCTATGCAGCAATCGCACATAATAATAATAATGTCACGCGGTAGCCAATATCATTATTATGTTGTTGTTTATTACACGCGAGGGATGATTTCGTCGTATAATTATTAATAATGACAATTAGTATTATCATTCGCTTCCAAGAAACAATTTTAAAAGTGATAAACGCCCGAGGGACGACGGCGGTTTTATCGAATTTCAACAAACACGAGTGTACGCAATGACATCATAGAACATTAGAGGATGGCATCGAGACCAAAATAACATAAATAATTGTCCTACTATATTATTGCAATATCAGTATCAAAAAAAAATAAAATATATAGTTCAGTATAATAAACAATAGTAATTTAGCGTGTATACAACAGTTGTAATACTATAAACGTTAAATGTTTCAGAGCAGTGTAATCGGTTTGAAGGAAACGCCGACGTAAGCAAATTTCCCTACTCCACACCCTTCGCAGTCAGCATTAAGGATAATCGCGAAACGCTGTCGGGACGACTAAGCTATTTTTTTATTCATCAGCCGCGTGTACTTTTATGTAACAAATAACAATCTCCACTTTATCATGTATATAAAAAAATGTGCAAACCTTCGTGAAAAAAATATGTACAATAACAATTAATTATTATTGGTAACCGACCAGTAGTAGTGCTGTTTGAACAACGCTATCAGCGGTTTTCAATTGAGAACGAATTATTGTAATTATGATTAAGATTAACAATAATTAATATTTACTAATAATGACGCGCAAGCGGTTTGCTTAAAACTCACTGGAATTTTGCACCAAGAGTCTTACGTTTTTCGAGGGAAAATATGTAACCGTGGATGAGACTCAAAAACGCATGATTTTCAGCCACCGGTATATAACGTAAAAATAATAAAAACGTTGGGAGGTGTCAAGATAAATGTTCACACTCTCATATTTAAATAGAAATTATAGGTGCCACATTTAAATAGAAATTAAAGGTAGGTACCGCAGAAATCTGCCACGTTCATATGCCAAAGATCAACGTCGATCACGTTGACCCGCAAATGGGCACATTCTAAATTGGTCCCACGCGGATAATTTTCACGGTGCACGAAAAATTTGTTCGGCAACACACAACACCCGCAGTAAGCTGCAGAGTCGAGTTACTACTAGGCTTATGGACCGGTGTTGGCTTTTTGGAAGCACATGTGAAACACGACGACGTCAATTACCTACTACAGTTTTAGAAGGTCAAGTGATTAAGTTCTGGATTGACGCTCAGAGACTTATCACAAAACTATCATAAACATAAATATATCACGGTAAACGGAAGGTCGACTGATATGTGTATTGTACAAAAATATAATAAAACGGTACTCTGCACACCGCTGCGCGATCACATCGTTAAAATCATAAAATATTTCGAATCGAACGTACCTGTCGCCGCCCCCCTCCCACCCACAAAACCATCGACGATCGCGCAAACACCTTATCGGCCGGGCCCCCCTCCCGCCCGAAAACCATACCATTATTATATATTTTGATAGGTAAGATATATATATATATATATATAAAGGCACATTATGTACGAAACGACGACGAGCAAATAAAATAGCATAGAAAACAATCATGCCGATTTACAACGGCAGCGGTGGTGGAGGTTAGCCGAAGCGATTTATATTTTTTGCCCGTTTGACCACACCGCAAGGCGGCGGCCGAAAATACGAAGACCGGCTCAATATATACACCGCACTCCACACTATCGTTACAACTACTATCGCTAATCTCTACACAACGTTACACCATAGAAACGCGCAATAGGTACCCCGCAAGCGGGCGCGTGTAAGTACAATCAAAACAAACACCGAACATAACAATAACGAATAACGATATGACATTGAGAACGAGGCTTACCTTGTTCGTCGATCACGTCGCTGATGCTGTTGTAACGGCGCGTTGTCGGTGACAATATTAGCTGTGCGAGCAGCGTCCGCGTTGTTGGCAGGCCGACGTCGACGATGATAACCACGCGCGCAAACACACACACACTCACACTCGATCAAACACACACACGCACGCCAAGCGACGGGAACGCGTCGTCGTCGTCGTCGTGCACTAAAATAATGCACCGGATTCACGTTGGCGCGCGACCGCAATATCGTATCGTCGTAGTGAAATGGCGCGCACAAACTCGTCCAAGCATCGGATCGCGGGATCCGGTCGGCGAACGATGATAATAACACGATAATAAAAATAACAAACAATAGAGGATATTACCTTATTGTACGTGTATTAAATATTATTATGTATTATTGCGCGCGTTGTGTGTGGCGGCGGCGGCGTCTTTTACCGGACACCGGTACACGCAAAAACCGAACAGAGTGCGTGGAGAAAAAAAAAACGAACGAAATTTCGACGGGTGGCGGACGAACACGGACAGATCGTCGTACGCCGTACGCACTTGCGGAACAACAACGGTGGTCAGTCGTCGCGGTCGTAACGGATAGCAGTGTGGTGGTGTCGGCGGCGGCGGCGGCACAATCAGGTTATGTTGGCTAGACGGCGGCCGAAACTGTTGTGTGTACGCGAGACAAACACAAGCAGCCGCCGGAAAATGGCGGACAGTCATCGGTGAGCACCGATGACCGCGTTCGCTGGCCCGGCACAACCGTCACGCCATCTGTTGTTCGTTACCATTTTTCCCGCCTTACGCCCTGCGCGTTCAAAAACATGAAAACATAGTTATTTATTATTATTATTACTGTCGCTGTGCATAGACATTAGACAGACAGTTTATAATGATTAATGTTGTTTCAGTTAATCTGTTTGACGTACGTACGTGGCACATATTAATTAATTAAAAAAAATATTTTGTCAAAAGTCATACCTTGCATGTATGAGTGCATGTAATAAAAATTCAACAGGATGAAAAAATCATAATCGACTATGTACTCGTAGGAATTATTTTCACTCTGGGTCACAGTCAATAAATTTTTTTATTGGCTAGAGGTTTATAATTATAGCATGAACATACATTATAACATAATATGTTTTAATTGAAAAGATATTTCACTATGCTCCCTCACAGCAGGACTCACTCATCATTGTTAAATACCGTTTGATGCACAACTACATTAGATATGAATACAAAACATTAACCCAATTGGCAATCATAGTAAAATGGTAAAATAATATTTTTTTTATTATTATTTCCATTGAACTAAAATGCTCTTAATAACTAAATATTTGTTATTACTTATTAAAAGTGGTTGTATATGCTAAATTATTGTATTGAAACATATTAGTAAATATTTGTGGAACCAAACAAAATGCATGCTACTCATTGAGTTCTCATATTTCATTTGTATCCAACTAGATGTTTCAGTATAGTTCTATTGAAAATATTGATCTATATTTACTTACGTAAATGATTAATAAAATTATACTTCACCTATACAGCAACAGGCTATTCAAATTTCAAATTAGTGATGATTTTGAATAGGTTAGGTAATGCAACTATATTTGTGACCTTTCCGAAAAAGAGTAGCCCCTCACATTTCAGGTTTCTAAATCTATGCAAGGCAATTAGGGTCCTGAATTTGAAATTTCAATGAAATTATGAAAAATATATTTTCTTCTTTTAAAATTGTTCGATTATAGATGATTAGAAATATTATATTAATTACACACTTAGAAATAAAGAAAAACATAATATTTTTATTGATTTATTATTTCATATTTGTTTATTCTATATGTAGTGCTGAAAAATATTTCTTGCATTATTTTGAGAATAAAAACATTTTTTATATGAGTTTTAAGATATTGTTGTATGCGGGCTGTCACTTGTCAGCGATCCAAAAGATAATGGTTTGAAAAAAGTTGAAATTAATTCCAACAAAGAATGAAATAATAGTGTATTTTCAGTAATTAAAGACTTTGGGGCAACAACAAGTATACATGTCCATGTCCATGGCCAAAACCACTTTTGCCCGTCATACAATATAAAAAAAAAATCGGCATCGATTGGTGCAACAACAAGACATGTCCAAGCAAATTTGCATTACGGTGCTCAACAAGATATGTCCAAACAAGTTTTTATTGCTTCCTTAACTTATTATTAAAGGGTAAGCACTATCTACTTGTGCATATGTAGTATGTAGCCTATAACTAAAATCTACCATTTTTTTAAAAATTCTAATTGTTTTTTTTTTTTGGAATTTACAATATTTTTTTTGTCTGTTGAACAATTTCAAAAAAGGACCATGTCTCGTCATTGCCCCAAGGTCTTCAATTATAAAATGTGCAAAAGTCGTACATGTGTTTACATACTGAGTGATGTAACGGTGCTCTGTACTCTTTATTTAATACTTAGATCATATTTTGCATAATGTAAAAGGTCCTGAGTCACTACTATTAAGTGGTTTGTGTCTATACATTGTGAATATAATATAATATAATTATAATATAGTATGATATAATACGAATTCGCAGAGACATAGCTCTCAACAATACATTATGATGTAATATATGGTTTATGAGTTTAACTAACTTATTAGTTTTACACTTAAAAGTTAAAAGAAAATGTTTAAATTTGTTATATTATAGGTTTGTTAAACTACTTATAAATTATATGTAAATATAATACATATTACATATTTTCTTTGTTTCATACAACAAACCAACTTTTAAAAAGGTTCACTTGGAAGTTGACAACTATACACTTTTAGATATAATAAACATTTTATTTTTATTTTTCATGGAAATGAAATATTTCAAGAAAAAAAATTTCATGAAATTTTAAAACCATAAAGAAAATATTATTATACGATTGGCAATATTGGCTAAAATATATAGTTTAGTTGTCTTCAATAATTATTAAATTATAGATAGCAAATTAAAACAATAATATCAGTTTTTTTTTAAATATATATTTATTTATAGAATATTAATTAGATTTACATTTGTTTAAAAAAAGTAAATGTACCAAAATTATAACAACATTAAGTCACATTTCATATAATTAGTTTGATATTTATATTTATTTATAAACACATAAAATGACAAATTTATTAAAGTTATACATAGTGAAGATGTTCTAAAAACATTTGTCTGAAGTTTTATATAGTTTAATGTTAAAATAATATAATTTTATTAAATTATTAACAATCAAATTGTTAATATTAGAAACAAAGTAATTAATTTTGAAGTATAAAGAATTTATTATTATACATTTTTATACGTTATGACATGAGAAATCTGTCTTGAAAAAATGAGTTATTATGCAAGATAGGTCAATGTTTAATAAAAAAAAAAAAAAAAATAGCGAATGGCACATATTATACAATGTAAATTAAAACCATAAGTTGTTGTTTTACATTACATATACTTTTTCTGCTTGTTTTAACCAATACACTTCTTTGGTCTTGGGACAAATTACTTGTCCATTATTTTGATTCGACATCTCTACTAATGCCTATAAATTTATAAATGTATCATTATTACATTTTATATTTAAACTATAAACTAATAAAGACCTGTTCTCCGTAAACATATCCGTTTGGTAATACCATTGGTATATTATGTTCATTCAAGGGAAGTCCAGATATTGAACAAAATAGTCGAGACTGACTACAATGTGCAAATGGTAATGGTTTTGCTAAAGTATTGAACCATTCTTGACAGACTGGGCAGCTTATATTACGCGCTTCTTTAATGTCACTGTAACACTGAGTATATTTAAGTTAAGAAAATTTATTTAGTTTCTTATTAACAAAAATATTATTCAAAAAACTATTAATATATTATATTAAACTATTTTTATAATATATTTATAATTCTTAGTTCCACTAAATTTTATTTATTTTTTCACGTAATAAAGTTTTTTTTATATAATATAGACTTCATTTTTTTTTAAATAATAAATAATAATTATTTGTTTTAATTTTAAGTATTAACTTTACAATATTATGATATAAAATAAAAACAATACTATAGAGAACAATCACAAGAGTTATTCCTAAAAAATATAGAATGAAATTGAAATCTTTAAGCTGAAAGGATATGAAAATATAATAGTTAAATAATTGTTATAAATAAGGAATTTTTGATTAAAAATGTAAAGATTAACCACTAAAAATAATATTCAGTATCAAGACAAAAAATTTAATTTAGATATTTGTAATAGGAATAATTAATAATTTGTTTATAAATAAGTCTATGATGTCATACCTGCATGTGTTGTTCGTATCTTACTTAGGAATAACATACCAAATTTTTGTTCAGAATAATCCATTTAATTAAATTCTGTTATTATTTATTACATAAGAATTATTCTGAAAGATGTATTGTTGAAAGATAAGAATATTTTTATCTCATGTAATTTTTTTTGATATTTGAATTTTGAAACAAATTATTTATTTTTTTTTTTTTATTTTTATATATTTAAGTAATTTACAATCTAATATCTATACAACATTATGTACAATGGGCAAATTTGATAGTTAATATAATGTGAAATAACAGAATTTAACATTTAAAGGCAGGCACTCGGCAGCACCACCCGACCGAGAACATTTTGATGTCGTGGTTTGTTTTTTTTTTATTATTATTTTAAACAAGTTATTTAAAATTGGAAATTTGGATTATTCTGAACAAAAATCTGGTATATGTAATAGTAAGTCACAGACAACACATGCATGCGGGTACGACATCCTCATTGCAATTAAAAGGTATTTAGCAGGTGATTGCGGTGTTAAATAGTAAAATAAAGTCTTTTAAAAAATAGTATATGTTGATAGATTCTATTAAATTGAAAGTTATTAAATTTTAATATTTTTTATCATCAGTTAGATTCACATCTATTAAAATGTTATGAACAAAACAAAGAATATTCTACTATGATTGTTATTGCCCCTGCCACCACTGAGAATATTTACAAGTTATAACATGTTAAATCATAACTTAAATGATTTATAAATTAAAATTTGTGTTATAAAAGTGTAACTTAAATATTATAGTGAAAGTTTAAAAAAGGATATGGAGTTTTCAGAGCAGATAATCCAGCTTGTAATACTACAGTAAAAACTGACTGTGAAGACAATTGATATAGCTTGTAATTTTCTAGACGAAACTGTTCAATTAATTTTTGCCAGCGAGTCTCATCAAACATATCTTTGTAAGGTGATATTTCTGTAAAATGTTTAATTATTATGTACTTTATAAATACATATTATAACAATAAAATGCCTTAGAAATATCAAGTAGGTATTTTAAATATTACAATTAGGAATAAACAAATTAAAAATCAGAACTGCAACCCTTTAATGCAAATATACATTGAATTAGCCAAGTTTTAAAATATAGAATATTATCCAGATAAATTATCTATCAACAATAGATAAAATATTATTAATTTATATAAATTTAAAAACAATTTAATTTATTTGATTTATAATATGATAGTATCATTTATAAATTATCAGTTAACTTATAATGCATAATTTATTTTTTTCACGTTCAGTTTAATTTTCAAACATTGCATATAAATACACATTTCCCAAATATGAAGCCCCTAATGGACATTTGATGAGAGTGCTGATGGATGGATGAAGATTTATGAAACTGACATGCAACAAAAACATTATTTATCCTTGGATCAATGCACATATTGATTAAGGAGAAAATGAGAAATGTATCAACTCAATTTAATCACCCCAACAGCTAAGCTTCAACAATACTAATCAAAGAATTGTAATAATTACTGAATCTGGAATAAAAAATTAAAAACATTAAATTTACCAGTATCAGTTGGAAAAGCCAATAAAACCATGCATTGTTGTACTTCTTCCATGCGAGTATCTTCAAATGTTGATATATACTTTCTGGCATGTCTAAAATGTTATTAAAAGAGTTCATATAAAATAAAAATGATTAATAATTTTAAACTATAATAAATCTCAGACAGAAATTGATGTTTAAGAATAGAATAAGTTAAATAAAAATAGTTATAAAACTAGTTCTTAAAAATGTAAGCTAATATTATATTAGTAACTATTTATTATTAAATAAATTAATGGAATTGTCGAACTATTGAAAAATCTGATATTATTTGTTTAATATTGTGGATCTTCCTACACATATTGAATATCATCAATATTTGATCCCTAGTTATTATAAGTAAACAAATATATATATTGTTTTAAATTCTATTTATTTACTTGATTAAAAACTTTAAATAAGAACTAATTTTCAAAAATGTAAACAATAAAACCAACCGGACAGCATCAAGACGTTTGTCTTGACGTACAAGTTCTACAAATTCTTGTATTCGTAAATTGAATTCCATAGTTGAACGTAATTTACGTAATTTCGACCTATTGTCATGACACCAAGCTAAACATTTTGATGTTTCGTGATTTTCCAATGAATGTTCGACTTCCTTTGATATCATGAATAAATCTAAAAATATTCGATTAAAGAAATTAGTACCTAATTATTTCAGAAAATTAATTGAGTGTATTATACCTATATTAGTAAGATCATTCAGATCTGAATTATTGGCAAGTTTATTGGCAGAGTTATAATATCCACAGCGTAAAAAGTATTCCACTAACATGCGATCCAACCGACGGCGACGCCAATTTTTCACAATAGCTTCACAAGGTGAATTATGTTCTTTTAAGTGTTCCAAACGTTTTTTACATACTAAACCAGCTTGCAGTTCATCATTTATACCTTCATCAGCCTAACAAAAGTACCTTAATAACAAATAAACTATAAAAAAAATATAATATTCAAATTATCAAACCTTTCTTTTGAGCACTTTCAGTTTTTCAACCATGCCACTAAGCAACGAAGAAATATGAGAAGTGTCCGTCATTGCGACATCAGATGATATATCACGTTCAAACTCTTGTACAGCATTTTGAAAATGTGAAACTTCTCTGTCAAGTGTTTTTTGTGTTGTTCGAAATTTCTTATTGAGAACTTCATATGGAACCTAAAAATAAACAATTTCATACTTGAACAATGAATATTGTATTGTGTTTTACTGCGAGATTTCGATTTATTTTAATATTCGACTAAAAGCATTACATTCAATGATACCTAATCATTTAACACCGGAATGACTACTGTAAATAATAATTTCTAACTAATTTCTTGACTCAAGTTTTAACAAAAACATTTAATATTGTATTAATTTTATCGGGTATACCTTTAACGTAGGGTGTTCCAATGATTTCAAATCAGACATTATGTGATTTTTAACTGCAAAATAAAAAAGTTTAAAATGGTCCGACCGAATTCGACCGCATCTGGAATCGAGTTACACACTTACACGGAAGAACAAACGTGAAACGATATCAAAAATAATGAATTATGATGACGAGTAGAACCAAAACAATAGCAAACTGTACAGACACCAGCAAGTGGAAAAAGCAAATTAAACTAGCAAGTTGCAACCAAAGCAGCAGCAGCTGATAGCAAATTCTCACTTCGTATGCATCGACGCATCGTAGGCGCATCGTATTTTGATATTATGACATACACAGGGAACAGCTGATCGAAGTTTCATTTTTTCTATGTACAATGCAGCACTGCTGCACTCCATGTTTTCACAATAATAACAATAAATATTGTAATAATTATTAATACTAATACTTAATAATCATTAATATATACCGAACTCTCAAGTCCCGTTCAGACCACGATTTTAAATATTATTAGATCATATTTTTTTTTTTATTACATATTAAAACACAGTTTTCTAATATATAACAAAATTACCTACCCATTTAAACTGAGCCGGTGGTGAGGTAGGGAGTTCCCGATGAAAATAAAATAAAACACAAATAAATTAAATTTATACAATGAAAAGTGAATTTCATTTAAAATTAAAATATAAAGAGGATGTCAGCTCACTGTTTGTTTTCTTTCTCTGGCCCACGCGCAACATAGACAAAACGCATTAACGCAGAATCATTTTTTCTATGTTTTAAGTACCTAATTTTAGAGTAATATCAACCATTACAAAAAAGATAGAGAATAATATTTTTGAGGGAATGACATATCGATTTGTCTAAATATTGTCTCAAAACAATTTAAATATAATTTAAATTTACAACATTTTTTTGTTTATTTGGAAAGTCGAATACTAACTACTAAGTCAAATAACAATAAAATATAAAATCGATATGTCATTCCCTTAAAAATATTATTCTCTATCTTTTTTGTAATGGGTGATTTTACTCTAACATAACTTAAAAACATAGAAAAAATTATTCTGCGTTAGTGCGTTAATGCGTTTTGTCTATGTTGAGTGGGCCAGAGAGAGAAAACAAATATTGCGCTGACATCCTCTTAATATAGGTACTAAATTATAAAATTTTACCTAATTCATTAATAATACATTATTTATAAAAACATTAATATTATTTTTTTCAATTCATAGGCACAAATAGGGGAAGAGCTCAGGTCCGGCTCAAGGGGTAGGCCCACGCCCCACGCCTAGGACGGCACTTACCTAAGCAGCACTTTAGTAAGAGGGCGGCATTTTCAAAATACTGATAATATTATATTGTTAGGAGAGGCAAAATTTGATTTTGCCTAGTTCACTATTTTCGCTTGAGCCGTCATTGGGAGGGCTTTATGGCCTAAGCCCCCTCCCCCCCATTGATCATAGCCCCCCCAAAACATTGCCTGCATTTTATTTTAAGCTTATTTAGGGTTGCCATTTTTCCCGGAAAACTGTCATTGGTTTTTGACTTGGAGTACCGGTGTCCGGAAAATAAATTTAATCTATTGTAGTAATAATTATTGATTGCCGGGCAACAAAGTGCACGGGATCATTTGGTACCAGTGGCGCAACTTCATAATAAGCGGGCCATGTGAACATTTCTGGACAGAGGCCCTTACCTACTATAAATACAGTCATGCCTTAATACCTTATTGTAACTCTAAAAAATATTGTTTTCTCTCATGTAATAGTTAATAATTGCTAGTTATAATACCTACAATATAGGTACCTAAGTTTACACAGGTTTCTCGCATGGGTGGTAGTGTGGTACTCGTAATTCGAATTCTCCAAACTTAAAAGAGTAAAGACATTATAATTTAGTGTGATTATATTAAAACAAATAATATAAGAAGACATATTATATTATTTGTATTATATTATAGTAGCTATCCCGCCCCACGGTGTCCAGGCCAAAGATTTGTGTTTTTAATAAATATATTTGTACAAAATGTGTATAACATATTTCATATAATTATAATATTAATATAATATGTAACGAATTGCAATCATTTAGATTGACAAAAAAAAATTTATATTTTTGTATGCTAAAAAAATTATGTGTGAGCTACCCTTTACCTATCTACAACCTATATGAGTTGAAAAATTAAGCTATATACACCCTTCAAGTTTCAAGTAATAATCTATTGAATTAACTTTTATTGAACACGGTCATTTTTTGAGGCTATTAACTTCGGATAAACCAACATAAAATTTTAGTTGTACCAATAACCCAGTTTTGCCAGCCACAAAAATGAAAAAATACAAAATTTAGATTATATAAGTGTATCTTAGTTTTAGTGTACCTCAGTTCACAGATACATTTGGGTTGCTTTGCGAACTAAATCGTCCTAGATTGACAATTTATTTGTGGTGGATTGGGTATTGGCTAAATAGTACTTGGTATAAATTGAAAGTGGTTCAAACTATACTCTTTAAACTTTCCTGAAATCTCCAAGAACAATTTGAAATTTACACAAATTCTGCCAAGTAGTTTTTGAGAACCTATATGGCTATATAATAGCTACAAATATACATTCAACTCTCATATTTGTTTTAAGATATAATTTCTTTATTCGAAACCATAAGCGTGCGACGATTTTATAGATCCTTTTACCTCATCTGCCAGAGTAACTAATGGCATTATGGCAAACAATTAAAATACTAACTTTCACGATAATTATTTTCCCTATAACCAATAGCAATCATTCATAAACAAACATTTCTATCATAAATCTCAAAATACCTGTTCGAGCACCTCTCCGAGTTGAACCAACTGGGTCTAATTGTGAATCTAAACCATTCAGAGACTCACTCAAAAACACACAAAACATGTCCAGTGGTTTAGGAGGAGATCAATGACATATACAGACAAACATTTATTTTTATATATATAGGAGGCATATATTGTTATTACTTTCGTTCACCCAATTAATTTTACCAAGGAAAATTATTGTACCTACATTAAAACCTTTCCCGTGACTCGACCGATTTATTAGTGAAAACCGTATTAAAATAAGTAGAGTTCTTTTCGAGATATGCTCGTCCATACAAAAAAAGGGCTTCTATTTTATAATATATATATAGATTATATTATATTAATTGTATTAATATTTAATTATTATTCTATTATTTACATTATATAGTAGGAATATCGCTCATGAGATCTGGGGGCCCCCAAATACCGGGGGCTCCTGTGAATTGCACACCCAACACTCCCGATAATTGCGACACTGTTTGGTACAGAGATAGATTGGAATTCTGGGTAGAAGATAGGCTAATTTTAAAAATAAATTTCGAGACGCCTTATATACTGGTTTTGGGAAAAAATTAAAAATAGTTAAATTTCGAAAATGTCAAAATGGTATACTAGATAAAGTATTGATGCCAAATCTATAGGCTATTCGCTATTATAAACTAATAATATGAACATTTGAGGGGAACAAACAAGCACGTGTGCACTGTTACTACGTGTTACCAGCTTACAGGTTTAAATTTTATATCTTACTACCATATTATAGCATATTTTAGCATGGTATACTATCTAATATAGTGTATTTTACGGATAGTCGACACGGGTGTTACACAAGAGAAATTTTACGGGAATCCCGGCTAGGGGGTCGGCACCTGTAAGTACTAGTCGGCAATTTACAGAAATCGAAAAATGTAATATATTATGCTATATATCGCAGTATTAGAAATCTTTACCAAAAGCTTTAAATACAACTTTTTATGGATTCTGATAGCGGAGCAATGAATGTATTAATTATACAATGTGTGTTTTATTTTGGTGTGTCTGCCATCACCTTTTAGAACAGTAAAAATGTTTAGATTTTCTTGAACAGACCTCTCTTTTCTGGTAAGAAAGTGAATCTAGTTGGTACTTTGGGGGATCAAAAGTAAAAAATTCCAAATAGATTTCAAAAGCGCTGTAAAAAATCAAAAGAAAAATTAGGGAAAAACTGGAATTTTACGCAAAATCGGTTTTTGACAAAATCGATTTTGGTTTTTGGTGTAACTCTAAAACAAATTAACGTAAATACATGACATTTCCTCTAGTTGCTTAATGTTTATATTAGCATTTTTTACACGATAAAATTTTCAAAAAATGTTGGTTTGTTTTGAACTGTTTACTGACATTTTCAGTTTTTTTAGTTTTTTTTTCTATGAATGTCATTAAAATGTTATTTGTTGGGTAAAAAAGTTTGAAAATTTAATACAAGGATCCTAATCCTCATCAAAGACAGATGAAAAATATTTAAAATCCATTGTCGTAAATTTTTTTATAAGCATTTAAAGTTCAAATAATTACAAAATACATAAAATTCACAAAAGTGTGCAAATTATTTTGAGTAAGAATTCATAAATTTTTTTTTTTAAATCTATGATTTGAAAAAGTAATACAAGATTACTCATAAGTTTGTCTACCTTAATCAAAAAAAAATGTCTACAAGTCAAATTAAATTTTTATAAGCGTTTGAATTTCATACAATTATAACATTGGATATTCAATCGATTTCTCATGTAACGATTTTCTTATACTGTTGTAATTCAAAAACGAATTTCTATTTTCTGTAGATACATTAAAATTTCAATGAATTTTTATTTTATCAATACCTAAACTTGATAAAATTTTCTTAATATTTTGACTCGTTTTGAGCTATTTACGGAGAATTAATAAAGTTGTATTTATTTTAACGAAAAGCGTAAAAATTTAATGCAATGCTCCTGATATCTTGTTAAAATAGCAGTTGAAAAATATAAAAAATACATAGACACAATTTTATAAGCATTTCAAGTTCGAATTTTGAAAAAATTTATCTAATTTAAAATGTAATAATTATATTGTAGTTATAAATTTATAAAATGTTCAACTTTTTTTAAATTACAAATTTACAACATTCAGTTTTAAGTTTATCGCTGAAAGCAATATATTTAGAGAGTATTTCGATACATAAAAA